ACGTCTTCAGCACAAATAACAAAAGCTACTCTAACACTAGGTACAAAGAGCAGTTCTTAAGAAAGTACTAGAGTCACACAAAGTTATGCTACACTGAGCAAGTAGCTTAAGAATACATAGCCAGTGAAATTCCATGTCATGTACAACCACAAGAATGGGATCCTAAGTAGAATAAGTTATACTCCATGCATGTAAAATATATCAAAATACACTCTACTGTCATGAATATCTAAAATGAACAAATTAAATAATTGAAGCATGTCTAAAGCAAATCAATTTCAACTATAGAGATAAAGATCTTTCAGAACCCCACTAATTTTTCTGTTTGAAATATCTAATCTACCATTCTGTGACCTTAAACTTGTTTTCTAAAAATCCAAAAAGGAAAAGATAGAAGAAAGTAACACAACAGAGGTTATATAAAATAAAAAATATTAAGTGCTTATAATTAAGTGAAGAAAGCCAAAATATTAAAATCATAACTTATTTATTACTTTCTAGAATTAGGACTACATTGGAAGATAGGAAATACATATATTTATTTTCAGTAAATTCCTTTCTATTGTTCTAATTCATCTTTTCCATCAATGCATTATTTAACTAATAAAAAATTAGACACATTAGCGTTTGAAGAATAGCGCATCCGTTGGCCGCCTGCGAAGCAGTCAGTCTCAGTGACTTAGTGTATGGAGAGAAACAAAGAGCAGAGACAATAATAAAATCCAAGAAGAAGAAATAATAAAAAGCAGAAGGTTCACAGTTGACGTCCTTGACTCAGCTGGCCAGTTTGCTGGCTACAGGGATGGTCTCCATCCCTGTAGGGAATGTGGGAATGTGGTCACTTGTCACCTGGGCCTCTTCCAAGGCAGCAGTGGGAGTCACTTGATCTTCACTTTCTCACTTGGTTTGTTGTAATGCCCAGAATGTGTCAAATGCCCTTTAACAAGTATTTTCTCAAGAAATCTGAACACCCAAAGTTCAGGCCAGATAAGAATCTCTTGTTTTCCATTTTGCTTCTGTAAGTTTCTCTAAACTATTTTTTCTTTCATTTTTTTCCTTCTCAGCAACAATGTCTTGGAAATGTGGACAGATACGGGCTCCCTCCTACGCGCTAAATGCTGGGAAAAGCAAAAACCTTGCTATCTTTTCCAGAACTTCCTCTGTTCTTATTTAAAATTTTCTTCATTGCCAGGCACAATGCTGCTTGCCTATAATCCCAGAGACTGGGGAGGCTGAGGCAGGAGGATCAAACGCTGGAGGCAAGTCTTAGTAATTTAGTGAGATTCTGACTCAAAAATTTAAAAAGGATGGGGATGTAGCTAAGTGATAAAGCTCCCCTGGGTTCAATCCCCAGTACTGGTGGTGGTGGGGGCTGCAGGGGGTGGGGGTAGGTTCTTCATCAGTGCCCAAGAAGTGAGAATTACACCAGTTATCTTTGTGGTGTGGATTTCTAGTTTAATTCCACTGCAGTCAGAAGCCATACCCTGCAATTTTAATTGTTTATAGCCTTGCATTTGGTGAATCTTAAAAATATGTTTTATATATTTAAAAAGAATGTGGGGCAGGTTGTGTATTAGTGGTAAAGCATTTTCCTAGCATGCATGAGACCCTAGGTTCAATTCCCAGACTGGAATAAAATTTTAAATAAAAATAAATTTTGAGGGGCTGGGGATGTGGCTCAAGCGGTAGCGCGCTCGCCTGGCATGCATGCGGCCTGGGTTCGAGCCTCAGCACCACATACAAACAAAGATGTTGTGTCCGCCGAGAACTAAAAAATAAATATTAAAAATTCTCTCTCTCTCTCTTAAAAAAAAGAAATCTGTCCTTAAGGAGTTTATTTAAAAAAATAAAATAAATAAATTTTGAAATATATAAAATTTTGTGGTAGTTGGATGCTTCTATGTTTGCTAATTAAGTCAAATACATTAATTATTTAAATATTCTGAATCATTGCTGATTTTTTCTGCTTCTATACTTTAATGAAAATGTATGTTAAAATCTTTATGATTTTAATTTTTTCTATCCTTTTTTAGAGTCATAAAGTTTTACTTTATAAAATTTGAAGTTATTTTAATAACTACATAAAAATTTAATCTTTAGCAGTTTTATTTGTAAGCAATCTAACAATCTTTTTTCCATTTTTATGTAATGAAATTACTAGTATATTTAAACTTAAGTGTACATCTTGCTGTTTTCACTCTTTTTTCCCCTCACCTGTTCTGTGTTCCTTTTTCTCCTTTTGCTTTCTTTTGGACTGTTTTTAAATCATTCTATTATTTTGATAGCCATGCATTATGTTAAGTTGGTGGTTATGCCTTCTATTAATATTCTTCTCATAGTTGTATAGAAATTATTATGTAATATACATCCTTAATTTACCATAAATTAACATTTAACTTGTTTGCAAGGCAATACTGCAACTTTAAAATGCTTTAGCTCCATTTTCTTTCTCTGTGAAAATCATATGCCATTGTTTTCAGGTATTTTGAGTCTATATGTTTTTGAACTACATAGAACATCGTCATTATTGGGGTATACAATTAATATTGATGTACATTTGCCCTCATACTTATGCCTTCCATTGCTCTCAATTCATTCCTTCATTTCTGAGCTTTTATGTGGGATTGTTTTCTTTCTGCCTAATGGACATTCCCTTTCTCCAAAATTATCCAATAATTTTCTATAGTTATTTGTAGACTTATTTGATATTTCATATATATACAAATATAATCCACAATATTTTATTGTTCTTCCTCCTCTTCTTCTTCTTTTTGTCTTCCTACCTTTCTAGGCTTCCATGTGGATAATTTTTCTCCTGCTAGGAGGATGCTCTATAATAGTCCCATTATCCTGTGCCCGATGATGACAAATTCTCTTAAGCTTTTGTTTTCTAAAATCTTATTTCATCTTCATTATTGAAGTAGTGTTTTGTTTGCCAAACTCTCTAATAGCTGACTTCCAGTTATCAAGGGAACTACAGTTTGGGTTCTTCCAAAAAAAAAAAAAAGACACATGAGTATTTGCCGGGTTTCTGTTCTCGCGACTAAAAGGCTCAGGGTTTACTCCAGTTTAACTGGGCTGACTGGGCTACACAAAATAACCACACAAGAGACACAAGTACCTTTTTCTTTGGGGTCACTGTGACAGCTCCTCTGACTTTAAGGGTCCACAGGAAGAGAGAGCATGAGCATTGGCTTACCCCTTTTATTGAGGAGAAGCTATTCAAATGAGGCAAGGGGTCAGGTTTCAGGGGCTGAGTCTATCTTCATGATGTCCACTGCCAGCAGGTTGATTGACACCTAGGTAGGCCACACCCAAGGTCACAGTAAGAGAAGGGAACACACATAAGGCACTTCCATGGAAGATACTATCCTAAACAGGGCAAGGGGTTATATTACAAAGGAACAGGTGAGCATAGCTCCACCCATGGGGCTGTAGCAAGACATACCCATGCACAAGACCCTCGAACCCAAGAAGGGTGGGGAAAGCTCTGCCACATTTCTGCGACTGATCTCCTCAGCACCCAGCAGGGGAGTGTGACCCAATCACTGCAAGGTTGGTCTCCCACAAGTATTACATCATATTAATGTAAACATGAACTCTACATTTCCTAAAGTTGAGAAAGGCAGTATATAACTGTGGTGCATCACTCAGAGAAAGACCACACTCCTTAAGATACACAGATCTGAACAAATACAATGAACAAATAAAATGAACATCAATATTTGGAAGTTTGAAAGAAACAAGAAGTCACAAAACATAGAAAAGTGGGTTGAAATGGCAAAGGTTAGTACCCAAAGCTAAACCCTGAATGTTTTCTACAATTCTCCAAGTTTTTAAAGGTTCTTTCTCCTTACTTCTTAATCACATTCATTCATTCATTAGCTTTTTCTCTTTTACAAAGTTCTTTTTAAAGCTCTGCTTAGTGCCAGATATTGTAAATCCAGATAAAACTGACATGGACTCAGTCTACAAAGAGCTTGCAGCAGAGAAGATAACAAATATCAATAACAAATATCAATAACAGATTGAGAGGTTCATAAGACGGCATAGTCAAAAATTCTTCCCAACTTAGAGGAGTGAAAGATTGCTTAGGGGAATAAGGAGGTTAAGAGAGGAAGGAATTGTGGGTGGGGTGGGAGGTGGAGTGCCTCCAGGAGGCAATATTTGAGCTGTACCTTTAGAAAGGAAGGAATTTGGTCGTGCCAAGATGGTAACAAATGCCAAACTTTTCTGGGAAGCCTTGTCCAGGAAGAAATGTCAAGTACTGCTGTCAGGCTTGAGTTATGCGTGCAAAAGAGAGCAGTGAAAAATCAGTAAATGCCAAACTGTAAGTTCCGGTTGAGATAAGTACTTGGCTAAAGCCTGTCTCAGCATTGCTTCCAGAGAGGTGGGGGAGAAGGGCATGTGTCTTCTTTCCACTGGGTACCAGCTCTTCACAGGCCCAATGGACAGAATCTCATTGATCCTTTCATCATCCTATGAAAGATCGATATCAGGATCCCTATATATAGCAAAGGTGCACCTACCCCTTATATACGCATACAGGCCTTCTCAGGACGATAATGGATATGAGTTGGGGGTGTCAGTTTGATTATCATCATTGAGGCAGTCTCTATATACATCACAGGTCTTAGTAACTGGTAGAGGACTCCGCAGCCATCAGTATTCTTCACTCCACGTTCCTGCCGTGGCTGGAACCAAGGGAAGGATCACGTAGCTGCCTTGCGTGGCTCCAAAGCCCAGGCCTCAAGGCCCAGGAGACAGTCAGTGAGCTCCGCTGGGTTGCACTGGGTATGCCCTCAGAGCCTCGAGGGGGCGGGGTCCTGCCATCTGAGGGTGGGGCCTGTCAGCCAAGGGGGCGGGGCCGTGAGTCGGGGCCGCGAGTCTAGTCCCCGACCCGCTGAGGCCCACGCAGCGAGCAGGGCGGTCTGGGCACCCAGGCTGCAGGCAGCGCCCACGGGGAACCCCTCGCCTGCCTCCCGCGCCGCTGCGCGCTCCTTTCCAGCATGCTGCGGCGGAGCAGCCAGACACTCCGGCGCTTCTCCACCGGCCGGGTGAGTCCGGCCCCGGCGAGCGGCCCACCCTCACCTCGTCCAGCTTTGCAGACCCCAGGGTGGAAGGGCCCGGGAGGTGGGGCTGCGGGTGGGCGGCGATGCTTAGACTTTGCCAAAAGGAAAGGCAGCGTTTTGCTACTGGGAGACTTCGGAGAAAGGTCCGGGAAGGGTCCTGGATGAGAATTGTCAAACGAGCTATTGTCTTCGATGGGGAAGCAGCTGCAGATAGTTTTTGAACACGTCAGATCTGGCTGAGATAACAAGGTGGGGACAGTCGCTTGGTTAGGGAGAAAGAAAGGTCGATGGAGCAGTGTACAAGTGAGACGGTAGTATCATGTCAGTTGGATCTGTTTTAGCCTCCTAAGTGGTGGAAGCGCTCTGGACTGGCATGCGGGGGCCCTTTCGGATAATACCACTTAGAAGTGATGGCTGCATGCTCAGTACTGCAGACCCGGGCTGCAGGCGACAAGATTTCAAGGATTTCCAGGCGCTGCAGAGGCAGCCACGCTGGAACATATTAAATTGTAGCTCAAGAAATGAGTCCTGGCCCAGCCCCGAGGCTTGAAATTGCATCAGCTTGGACACGTTGCATGTGGCACTGCCCTCAGCACTTCTGGGGGCCTCAAGAGAGATGCCTTTCGAGTTTAGACAGACTCCAGGCTGTCAGGGAAGAAAAAGAACTCCATCCCGGGCATATTCTCTCTTTTACAAGAAATCCACGGGCGCTGTGTTATGAAAGATGCGGGGTTTTCATTGTTCTCTCTGCCAAAGCCATATGTACATATGTATATATCCAGATGTAAAAAAGTTAGAGGGAGAGAGTGGTGAGTAGCACTAAGAACTGTCCCAAATTCGCATAAATGGTAAAACTTCTGTCCTCCTCCCATAAGCCCGAATAGTGGCAATTCATTTTACTCCTCATGATCAGTTCTAGTTACTTTGGGGAATATTCGCGTGTTATAAAATGCAAAGGAAAAGACCTGCTCTAGGACTTTAGCAGGGCTTTTGCTTACTCTACTAAGCAATGCTTTGTACAACTCCTTAGCTGCTTCCTCCACGTGGCACCTGGGGATTTAGGCTGGATGGCAGAGAGCAAGGGGCTTGTGCCAACACAGTTTCGTTGGCCTTTTCTGTCAACACTTTTCCACGAACTGTCTTTTTTTGGAAAGCAGGAGGGAGTCTTGAAGAATGAAAATGTTTCCACAGTGGAGTCTGTATAAGATCTCAGTTACACAAGGTGAACATCTCAGGTGGCAAATGAATCAAGCAAGAAGCTAGATGCCAGAAGCACTGGCTTCCCAGGGTTTGACTCTTCTCAGGAGTACTCCAGAAAAGCAGTGACAGATGTGGCTGGGAAGAAGATAGGTTTCTCAATGGCCAAAAGGAGGACATCTAATAAGAAAAACAATTGGGGGCTGGGAATGTGGCTCAAGCGGTAGCGCGTTTGCCTGGCATGCGGGCTGCGATGGGTTCCATCCTCAGCACTGCATACAAATAAAATAAAGATGTTGTGTCCGCCAAAAACTAAACAATAAATATTTAAAAATTGGAGTTATTTTACCCTGTTGGCAATGCTTTGGGTGTGTTCTATAAGAACTAAAGTCACACATATACCTGGCTATGAATGTAAGAGCGTACAGACACTTTAGAAAACTGTTCCACTGTTTCTTACATAGCAATCACACTTCTATGGGTTTACCCAAGAGACATGAAACTTTACATTCACCCAAAACCTATTACAAATGTTTATAGGGGCTTTATTCATAATCGCCCCAAACTAGAAAGAACTTAAGTGTCCTCAACTAGTGACAAGATAAACTTGGTATATACCTGCATAAAATGGGATTTCACTCAGTGGGTTAGGTTAAGGGGGGGATGCATTACTGTTATAATGTGAATGAAACTCAAATATGTATATGAAGTCTAAGAAACCACACTCAAATGATTTCATTTATCTGACATTTTGGAAAGGGTAAAACTATAGGGACAGAAAAAGGATCAGTGGTGATCAGGAGCTGAGAACAGGAGGAAGTGACTATCAGTGGGCATGAGGAACTCCTGGTGGGGGCTGGAACTCTCCTAGATCTTAACCTTTCAGTATCCATGTCTTCAACTTGTTTTCGCATTGCCTGACCTGCTTTGATGTCTAGTCTGTTCTTAGAAAGTCGAAATTCAACTTCAAACCATATTTAATTGTCTGCTATGAGCTGTTTGTCTAAGTACCAAGGCTATGATATTAATAGAACTGGTATGGCACTTTACTATTTCCAGGCAGTCTTCTAAATGTTTTACATAGATACTCCTTTAATCACATCTCACTGAAGTATTGATGATCATTACACCCATTTTGTATATCAGAAAACTGAGACCCAGAAGTTAACTAACTTTTTGAGTCTCACAGCCAAAAAAGGATAAAATAATAAACAGGAAATAATCTCTGCTCTCAAAGAATTCATAAGTGTTTTTTCAGCATTGGATAATATTACGTAATACACTAAATAAGCCAATACACCAACTAGGAAAGTAAATGGACAATAAAATACTAAAAGACACTCAACCAAACTAGTAATCATGGAAATACAAGCAAGATATCATTTTTCAGTCATCAACTTGGCAAAAAGAGTGTGACAATTTTCTATGTTAACAAGTGAGAAAATAGTTCCTCAAAAACACGAGAAGCAAATTTTATATTCTCCATTAATATTTAAGCTTAAAAATGATTCTGGTGCTTGAGAAAAATGCTACCACATGGGCTCAGGAAGGATGTACAGTATATTCTATGCTGTGACATTTGTAACAATGACATATTAAATGCTAAAATGTCCCTGTAAAGAAATGAACAAATAAATTCAGACATAGCTATGCTATGGAATATTGTACAGCAATTTTAAAGAATGAGCATATGTACTGACGGAAAGCTCATTATTTCATTTATATTATTTTTAAAAAAACTAAATAATCCTTTGCATGTACATTTCCATGTATATAAAATCTAGAGGTCTATAGAATGCTCACCAAAGTATACAGTAGTAATTTTTTTCTCTGAGTTGGGAGTCATGGTCAAAGGGGACCCAGTCTGTGATCTTTTCCTCTTCTTTTCTAAAAAGGATATTATGTGTATATGTTATATGTATACTTAAAATTAATGTTTAAATTGCTATGTCATTAAAATATTATAGATAAATGTTATGCACTGCAGTCCTGCCTCTCTGGTGGGGACTGGAGTCTGTCTCTGGACTCCAGCCCTTTGGACTTCTCCAGTTTCCTCAGTCTTTAAAATGTTCCCTGGTCACCAGCCTCATCCGGGAGTTCTCTCTAGTCCCCAGGTGCTCAGCAGCCCCCTTCTTGCCTCATCTGCTAATAATCCCTTGTATTAATGTCCTTCTATCAGAAAATCTTTTATTCTCCTCTGATAAAAAAGGGGGCTCAGGCGTAGCTCAGCAGAACAGTGTGCTTGGCTAACATGCACAGAGCCCAGATGTCATCCCCAGCACTGCAAAAAAAGGAGAAAAAAGTTGGCCAGCTATCCAAGGAAGTTGTTACCAATACCTTCTTTCCCTAATGATGCAATAGGGAAATAAAGTTGTATACTTTTGTCATTTATGGTGGCATCCTGAGCCTGGCTTGAAATAAATCTTGCACAGATTTATTTCCATGAGAAATGTAACTTGTTGCTTCTGACTATTAGGATGAGAGTTTGTTACACTAGGTAGCATCCTGTGAATACTGAAGGCTGGTTATTGAACTTTTTTTTTTTTTCACTTTCTCTGCTTAATTCCCAAAGGTAAGAGGTGTGCCTGCCCCAAGCTGGTTCACACCTCCACAGGGGTGTCTGAGGGGTCTGGTAACATGGAAGTGCAACACTGTCCTCATTCAGTGACTCCTGTGGTCTTCACAGTAAGATCCAAATTATTTGACACAGATGAAGCCCTCCATGATGCCTTTCTGTAGCTTATCAGCTGTGGCCACTCCCTGACTCCCAGGACTGGTCACCCTGTATCCCCTCATTCCCTCTGTGCCTGAAACTTCCCAAGGATGTCCTGTTAAGTCCTGTTATCCATCCCGCCCTCTCTCTCTCTCTCTCTCTTTTTTTTTTCCTTTTTTGGTACCAGGAATTGAACCCAGGGGTGCTTAACCACTGAGCCCTGTCCCTGGCTCCATTTTTAATTTTTTTTTTCATTTTTAAGAGAGTCTCTCTAAGTTGCTTAGGGCCTCACTAAGTTGCTGAAGCTGGCTTTGAACTTGTGATCCTCCTGTCCCCACCTCCCGAGATCCCCTCTCTTTTCTTGGCCAACTCCAAGATGAATCCTCTGAGATTCTGCTAAGGAATGCCCTTCTTGGGAAGTCCTTCCCCTCCCAACCCACACTGGTCTCCCACCCTGGTCCTCCTGTGTTACCAGTACATCTTTACTTGGGCATCTTCCCTGCTAATTGAAGAATCCCTGAGGACAGAGACCATTTTTTCCTTGTGTACTTAGCATAGGGGTCCCCAAAAGAAATACCCACAGAGGCCAAGTAAGACAAATGAGGCTGGGTGAAGGGAAAGACCAGGTCAAAGATCAAGTAGGCTACCATTGCTCATCTCTACCATGGGAATGTGAACCAGGATTAATAACCTGAGTTTTCAAGAATTCCAACCTGCTGATATGAAACCTCGTAAAAAACCCTAGAGCTCTTTTAAAAATGCTTTGAGGGCCAACGAGAACACTCCTCCTTCCACCCACCCCAGGCCACTGATGTGCAGTCTCTACCATGCCCCATGCCCAGAGCATGGCAAATCCTCCAAACATGCTAGTTGGACTGATCTTACATAGTCAGGCCCAGTAATGGTGCCTGTACACCAAATGCTCCACTAAGTGTTAGGCATCTTATTGTCTCAGAAAAATACACTTTGCTGTATTCTTTCGTGTAAAGATCTTTTGTGTAAATACTGCCAATTCTCACAATTCCTAATGTGTATACATTTGGCCTTATTTGACGCTCTGCTTAAGTGGTTCTGG